GAAAGATATTTTGTTTACTAGAAATTTTATAATCTAAAAGTCAAAGATGAGAACACTAAACATCAGGTGGAATAAACATGAAAGATTTTTGCAAGAGATATGAGGACAAACTTCAGCTTTCTTTTAGTTTTAATAAATCTTAGCAAAAAAAATTGCTAAAGAAAGAAAACATGTTTGCAGTTCAAGAGTTACATGCACGAGTTGTGTGACTATTTTTTAAAGCTAGAATATATGAAAATGTTATGGTTGTTGGGATTCAGCCACTCAGTGTGTAGTAAAGAAGTCCAGGACATGTTTTATGTATTCAGTTAAACAAAATCCAGATGTCTGGCCTTTGATATGACCCTATCTTACCAATGTTCCCCTGCCAATAAACATTTTCTTTGTCCTTTACCTGCGGACACCTGATCTTTGTTCACTGAGTGGAATGGCACCATCCTGTGGTCAAAAGAGGGACTACAGAGTGATGCAGCAGCAGTTTGACGCACATTATATTGATTTGTTTATATTTCCCCCGATTTTAAATGGTTACGCTCAGAGTACTTGCAGACATATTTGGTTTGCATTGTGGAGAAAATTATCTGACAGAGGAGGCAACAGGCAGTTCAAAAACAAGTTTTATCAGGTACGAATTAAAGGGCCAACCGGAGAAACTGGATAAGTTGTTTAGGTCTTGCTTGGGAGGGAGATGTGTGATGATAACGAGAAAGAAAGCTTAAATTTGCATGTCGGTAAACGAAGTCTGGGACGCAGTCCTTCCTGGAGCGCCTGTGTTTCATGTCTCCCAGTGAAATGAGATCCAACCCGTTCTCCAGCACACCTCCGACCGCCTCAACCTGCTCTCCGACTGCGAGCACGTTATCGACGGTGTCATCGTCAGACATAACAAGACATCACCTGTGTGACTCTGGCGAATACACTTCCACGCAGCGGCGGACTATGAAAAGTGTGCGTAATGATTAAACATCACGCTCGGAAATACGCCCCCCCGCGCTCATCGGTCACAGATGACTGTCCACTGGCCCTGCAGGCTGTCCATGTCAGCAAACACCACGACACGCTGAACGAGGGAACGTGGCCGCAGACGGGCGCCAAGATGCGGATCTCCAAGGCCAACAAGGGCGCGGCGGTGGTGAGGGCTGTCCGGCGGCAGGCGTCTCCTCAGCCGTCCAGTCTGGAGAGGATGTGGAGCGACAGAAAGCTGTCGAACTGTGGACCTGAGGGGAGAGACGGGGCAGAAGCTTCTGGGAACGGGATGGAGGGACACGAAGGGGGGCCACCCCGTGGGAGGAAGAAGGCATCCAAACCACATGTGAAGACCATTTTCTCCCCCGAGGACAAGGACCCCAGGGTGAAGGAGGAGACCGGAGAGGGACACGCCTTCGAACCCGGAGGGGAGAGCAACTGGTGTGATTTGTGCTTCGAGTACATCTTCGAGAATGGTCTCACCTGTGCAGGTGAGGGTGCATGTGATTAAGTCAGGGGTGTGGGGGAGCCCACAAGATAAGAGGTCTAAATAGAAGGTGGAGGAATCCCAGAAGATATGGAGATTTTAATCTAAGCGGCTTGAAGCATTTAATGCAAAAGATCTCCCAAATATCTAGTGTTTTCCTTTGCTGAGCTTCACACAAACTCCACCACAAGTCTATGATCCATCTACATATGCTTTGGGAAATACTGTCAGTTATTTTGCTGACCAAAGAGGTAAAACAGTTGCAACAGTCCTACATGATATTTATGTGGATAAATGAAAGAAACATGCAGGTTTTCAGCACTATAGTTAGAATTTTGCCGTTTTGGGGTTGGGTTATTTTTTGGCTTGTGTTTTGGATTTTTTTTTTTAGAGTGAACAATGAACCAGTTGTTCATCAGGTCTTTTAGGGAAGTTTAACTGATTTGAATGAACAGGTACACTCTATCAGTGACATCAGCATTTTCAGGTAGCGCCATCTGATATGTAGTAATCGCTCCTTGTTTCTGTGCTGGTGATGACTTAAATAGGCAGGGCCACGAAAGAAGCCCAGCGATGGAATGCATGTTGGCATCCAGAAGGACCGGTTCAGGTGTAAATGAAAACTGGGTGACTCCTCAAGGGCAAACTCTGGACCTCCCTGTGTGTCCACTTCTGTCGAGCAAACAATAGAAATAGGAACCTTAGAAACAATTTCTTCTTCCCTAACGCGTAGAGCTCCAAACATGGTTGCAGTAGTATTTGTTTTTCGATGGAAATTAGATGGAAGTTTTGAATATTTGAATATCTGCTTCAAATACATTAACCCTTTGTACTGCATAACTACATAATCGTCCTTGTAGAAATTCCTAACTTATTTTATAAAATGATAAAACGTGTCATGACTAAGATTTTCTGTCAGATCTTCAGTTTCTGTTTCAACCTCAGTTGTGTTGTGGAATTCAAACAATGCTCAGTTGTTATGAAGGAATACGGTATCTCCCCTACATTATAACACTACCAACAGCTCGAACTAAAAGGCAGGATCCATGCTTTCATGTTGTTTACAGCAAATCCTGACTATAACATCTGAATGCCGCAACAGAAATCGGGCCCATCAGAAGGATTTTTCCACTCTGATGTTGTGCAATTTTGGTGATTTTGTGTTAGTTGTAGCTTCAGTTTCCTTTCCTGAAGTGGCAGAAGTGGCACCCTGTGTGGTCTTCTGCTGCTGTAGCTCATCTGCTTCAAAGTTTCAGACTTTGTGATAAGTGGTTAGGCTATTTCAGTTACTCTTACCTTCCTATCAGCTCAAAGTAGTCAAGCCAGTTACCCTCTGATCTCTGAGATCAACAAGGCATTTTTGCCCAGAGAACTGCTGTTCACTGGATTTTATCTTTTTCAGACATTTTCTGTTTGAACTCTATTTCAACAGCTTCTCAAATACTCAGTCCAGCCCGTTTGGCACCAACAGACACGACATCTTCAAAGTCACTTAAATCATCTTTCTTCTCCTTTCTAAAGCCTGGTTTGAGCATCAGCAGGTAGCAGTTGCCTTAGTGCATTGTGTTGCTACTATGTGATTGGCCGATTAGATAGCTGATTAAAGAGAAGCTGAACAGGTGAACTAATAACCCTTTCAGGAGTTTGAGACTCAAATGGTTCTGATTTTTTGAAAGGTTTCCAATTTTAAACCACAATTCACCTTGTTCTCACTGTATTCATTTACTTCATCTTATAAGGATGGATCAATTTAAATGTGAAGATATTTGAAATATACTCATTTGCCCATCTATATATGTATCAATGTTAGAGACAGAAAAAAGTTTGCATTAGTCAAATAAACACTTTTTATTTTATAAAATATACCATCCTCAATTGCGTATCATCATTCTTTTCACATGTTTCCTCTGCTATAGTAGACTGGCTAGATATTAGCTAAAGTATGCTAATGTTAGCTAGGATTAACAAATTCAAGATCTATTTATCCCGGTTAGCTGAAAACGTCTCACGTAGAAAACCTTTAATATCCAACATTTTCCGTTTTATTCCTTCATGCACTATGTTTTCAATTTTTCTTCTACTTAATGCTAGAAAAAATATTATCAAAGAAGGACATTAGCTAGCTTTAGCTATAAAACTATTGACCTGCTAATTCTGATTAGCTAAAAATACTCACTCAGATTTTATTAAGAAAATATGTGCTACTTTAAATAGTAGCATTCATAACTTTGGGACAGCCACAAACAATTCTGATAAGCAAATAAAACAATAAATAAAATTAAACAACTAAATATGAAAAGAAAAGAAAACATTATATTTGATTTGTTAGCTTCATAAAATTGAAGTTGGTGTTAAAACACTAACTGCAGCAATAAATACGCTTTGCAAATCTCCAAAACTCCCTCAATAGGCCTGATTTTGATATCAATATGCATTTAATCTTCTGTAATATTATACTTAAACCACATATTGTACTGCATAAAAATCTAAGAAACCCAACAGATACAACACAAACTGTTTTACTCTATCTCTCTCCCTTTAGCTATTTAACTTCATTAGCCTACATTTAATGGATAATGAGTTTGCAATGTGCACTATGGCTTCCTGTCACTTTAATCAGCCATGCTGATGGAGTTTGTGTTTGTGCCTATGGCTTTTCTCTATTAGCAGCCACTCACAGAGTCTGTTACAGACCTATGATTTCACCTAAATTTTAACAAACCCCCCCCCAACATTATTATCCCTTGCAGTTGTTCTGCAATCCTCTACAGAGCACTGTTAATATCTGTCACTCGCTCGCTTATTAACACACAGAAACAGTGACTTATAAGGCATCCAAGCCTTGCAAGAGCATGGTTCAGTTATTTCTTTCAAAGGTTAATTTTTGAGCTGAATGTTGAAATTAAAGTTTTCGCACAACACAGTGTTCGGTAAAAAGACTTAATGGAAATATTATAGCTTTTACTGGGGAATACATGCACATGGTTTTGTCAGAGTAAATCAGCAACATAAGAGAGAACTGAAGATCATTGTGATGATAATGATTGCTGAAAGGTAATATAACAGGAATCACTGTTTGCATGTTATCCATTACACCCATAACTGGTACCAATAGAGTAATTTCCAGGAAACTTCCAAGAAAATTATTAAACCATGACAAGCCTGTAAATGAAACAATGCCAAGTCCTTGCTGGGGTTTTTTCTTCGCTGAGGAAGAGGTTGGTATTTTAAAGAGTATTTATAGACTTCATGTCACCTTTAAGCTGTAGCTTCCTGATTGCAATGTTATGGGTCCATTTGTTATTGCTATAAAAACTAATCTAAATAATAAAGTAAGTAAAAAGAATAAGATTTAGAAATGTGAAACTGTAATATAATAAAAAACAAAGTTTTTTTTAATATAAAAAGAGTTTAAATAGCTCAATATTTTTACCTAATCTAAATTTAAATATTTAGAGTTTCTCTGACATTTTTTCCCTGTTTAAGTTAAAAGTAAACTGGTTATCTTTGATTAACTTGACCAGTTTTGCAGATTAAGAAACCAGTATTTAAAAATAAACTTCACTGTACTGATTTCTATTGTTTCTCTGTTTCTGTTGTTGGGTGAGGATTCATGGAAAAGAGTCAATATTAGCTTAAAAGTTAGCTAAAATGCTTGACATCATACAGCACTCAAAGTTTTGTCCATAGTTGTTCTGTGTCTGTTAAAATGTTTGAGTTTCCAGTGTACTCTAATATTTTATGCTTTTTAAACAATAACTGGTTCAGTTGGGAAAAGTGAAATGAGCTACAGAAAGGTAACGTGTTGTCCTTGGTTCAACTTCTGTATGAAAGCGGTTTAGCTCACGCTCTCTCTCTCTTCCTGTGGGTCTGTCATCCTATGGCTCTTTCTCCGAAGTAACAGGAACCACCGAAGAGAGCCGGGGATCTTTGTCTGATTGGGTTTAATGTTGCATTAGTGTGTGTATTCATTAGTCGGCTCTGTAGAAGGGATTTCTGTAGGCGGCTGCAGCTTGTTTCCAGTCAGTTTGCTCTCTATTTTTGATGTGACAGAATAGAAATAGCAGCACTTTGTCCTCCCTCAGTGTGATTCTTCTTCTTCTTCTTTAAATGGCTCTTTATTGTTAAGCTTCTGCATCCTTCAGTTCAAGCTTGTCCTCTACATTTAAATATGGCTTAACCCAGCGTTCTTCCTATTTTTGTCTACTTGTTCAGATCTAGAGCTCCTTTTAAAGAAGCCAAGTGCCTCTATAGCTTACTTAGCATTAGCCAATAGATGAAGCACTCAGGCTAACGGCTGCTGACATCCGTACTCCATATGAAGCCACAAGAGCTGTCAGAATACCAACAAATGAAAATATCCCATTAATTGTTTATTGTTGTTTACACTGTCCCCATTTTCACAAGCTCAAAAGGAAACACACAAGTTTCTTAGCCGAGTGCAGGTTTTTTATTTCATGACTAATCAAGAAGATAAAAGACTCATTTAACAAAGTGATGACTTTGTTAATGGAAACTTTCAACATATGTCACACAATAGTGCCACCTTATTGTGTATACATACATAATATATTAGAAACAGATATATATTTGTACTTTGTAGCTCTTATTTATGGTTATCACATAAAAAAAACAATGTTTCCAGTTAATAAGCAGTAGCAGCAAATGATAATGACATTACCTTTAAACAAAGGAGAGATTTTAGGAAATGGGGATTAATTTCTTCATTGTAGTATAGTGTTATAACTAGTGAAAACATTAATCTATATTAGTGTTTTATTATAAGGTAATAATACAATCACATTGTTTCTATATTAAGAATGTTTATTTCCAAATACTACACAGAAATGATGATTTTTATTGCTCACACCGTTTCTGCCTGATGGTATTGCTACATTTTTTCACATTATCACTCCTAGTTATTATCACATTATGTAAGTTTCAGTCCAATATTACTCAGCTAAAAACTACAGTTGATACTAAGCTATTACTTACTTATAATTT